ACATCATTCCGTAAATAATAGTTAGCTCATAAGGAAACAATAGTTAGCCCACAAGGAAACAAAAGAAAAGAACAATAGAAATAGCTCATAAACCTGAAAAATTGGTACGTCCGTCTGTCCGTACGTCCCGAAATCTTGTGAACGCAACTCCTCTTAAACCGGATGGCAGATTTTGCTTAAACTTCCAGGGATGAACAACCTTAATGTGTAGATAGTAGTAAAGGGGGAAATTTTCGCTGCGACCAAATTTAACAGAATTATGACCCTTTGTTATTTTTTTCACTATATACTATGTAGAAATTTTGTAAACGAAACTCCTCTTAAACCGGATGGCAGATTTTGCTTAAACTTTCAGGGATGAACAACCTTAATGTGTAGATGGTGGTAAAGGAAGGAATTTCTGCTGCGACCAAATTAAACTGAATTATGGCCCTTTGTTGATTTTTTCACTATATACCATATATATGTTGTCAGTGGGGGCATCCGTGTCCTTTGGACACAGTTCTAGTTCTTCATTTTAAGGCATGTAACTCATGTTTACTAATTTGTTTGTTCTTATCTGTCTATCTTAGTCATTATGTATATAAATATAAACATATTTCTTTTATATTTATAAATTGAATAGACTTAGATGGAAAATATACCAGTTTAAGAAGTTCATCAAATAGATAGAGGTTCAGGAATGATGAATATGCATAGAAATATTATTTTAGACTAGACTTTAAACTTGGTTTTCCAGTTGAACACTGCGGCTTGAAATTTTATTTATTTTTTTTTATTCATTTCAACGTTGGTTATCAGTTAAGATTTCATCATAAATATCTTCAGGATTCAATAAATTAATATTTGTGGTTTCAGGGGAAATTAAAATACTATTTATGCCAAATCAAAGCCATGATGCATAACAAACTGATCTGATGATGTTCAACACCAATCTAAATATTTAATTGAAAATAAATCAAATGTACCTATAGGTGATGAAAGTCATATTTCACTTAAATTTCATTGACAGTGTAAATATCTTATTTGGTTTGTTGATAAGAAAATAGTTGAGTACAAATCCAGAGTAGAAGGATTCATCAGTCAGAGACATTATGCTTGCCCATGGCTAAATGATTCAAAATATAAACAGAACAATTCATGGGACTTTAAATCAGAAAGGAAAGCCCAAAGATCAATGAATACATTTATTTTATTTTTTTCATTTTAAATTTTAACATAACTTGGTAAATTTTAAAATATCAACAAAAATATGTTAAGGGAAAACTGTTTAAAATGATGTTTTAATTCTAGTGTTATTATATTTCTTTATAAGACATTATTAATTTTAATGACTTTCATTTTTTAAAAATTCTCAAACTTCAATACAGTGGAGAAGTAATTATAATGGTTCAGAACAGTTCACTATTTAGAGGAGTTGATGTGTAAGCAGCTTAAAAGCTCAGCCGGTAGAGCTGTAGTAAGGTATTCTGAGTGTCCCGGGTTTGATTCCTGGTCAGGCTGCACATTTTTCTCACTCTGTTACAAAATTACCAATTGGTGGGACTTAAGAATCTTGTGATAATTCTAAATATAATATATTATAAAGTTTTTATATGCATTAAACATTTAATCTTGTTGCATATAATTATAAAATTGATTAACTTGTATGAGAGATATTGGTGGAGTGACAATGAAAACACCATATGTTCCTGTATATATATAGAAAACAATAATTTAATAATAGAAATTAAACGTTTACATAATGATGTCGATCCAGGATTTGCACCCGATGGGTTTGTTAAATTTCAACAAGGGGTATAGTACATATTTCAGCGTCGTACATGTATTTGGTACCTTTGCCCTAGTGGTTAAGGTGTCTGCCTTTGGTTCGTGAGGTTGAAGGTTTGAGCCCCACGGGGAGGGTAATTAAAGTATGAATGTTTATCGTTAGACTCGTTCCGAAATGGCCGCTTTTTGAGCTGCTACGTAGTTAAAACCGATTTCTATCCGCCTAGCGCCCGGCATAGTGGTGGGAGCTGGGAGATACAATTGGTATTCAAGCAAAATGTTGTCTTATAAGTCAGAAATGACTGTCCTTTTCAGCAGTGGTAAACTATACTAACCAAGACCTTTCCCCTTTACTTTTTATTTGATATTTGACTTGTTTTCAAAAACAGGCAAGTCCGTGATGTAATATTATATTTATTTGGTCACGGTTCAGGGGAAAAGATGTGTAAGCCCCTGGATAGCTCAGTCGGTAAATGTTGTGATACGGTATTCCGAGGGTCCTAGGTTCGAGTCCCGGTCAGGCTGCACATTCTTCTCACCCTGTGACATTTGGTGCCCAACTTGGGGCTGTGACTGAATATAGATCAGAATTAAATTCACATTGCTTTGTAACCTGAGAAATTTGAGAATAATTTCAATATAGCAGGAAAGTATTTCACGCTTAAAAACTTAACTATTTAGTGGAGAAAAAGTTCAAGAGGCCGGATAGCTCAGTCGGTAGATCCGCGGTCATAGTTAGGCTGCACATTCTTCTCACCCTTGGACATTTGGCGCCTAACTTAGGGCTGTGACTGAATGTAGATCAGAGTTAAATTCATATTGCTTTGTAACCTGAGAAATTTCTCAGGATGAATTTCAATATAGCAGGAAAGTATCTCACGCTATTTAGGGGAGAACATGTATAAGAGGCCAGGTAGCTCATTCGGTAGATCCGCGGTTTGGTATTCGAGGGTCCTAGGTTCCGAGTCCAGATCAGGCTGTACATTTTTTTGTTTTGTTTTGTTGCTTTCTTTACATTAATTTCAATTCTTTCTGTCGTTATTTCATGTACATCCCTTGACTGCAACAACACATAATAATGAAAAAAAATGAAAGTGGCATCGATGGGTCACGCGCAGGTAACAGTATGATTTAACGCCATATTTAAGGCGATTGTACGCTTAATATGGGGCAACAAAATGATTTTTATTGTCACGGTCCAGAACTGTTCACTATCTAGGGTAGATGATTTGTAAGCGACCGGAAAGCTAGCTTAGTCGGTAGAGCCGCAGAACGGTATTCCGAGGGTCCCGGGTTCGAGTTTCGGTCAGGCTGCACATTTTTTACCCTGTGACACATTGAAACAATTGTCTCCCCTCCCTCATTTTATCTTTTTGTGTTGTTGCGGTTTTTCACAAAATACTGAAAAAGGTAAAAATGTGTGTGACAAAATATAAAGAAAATATATGTTTCTCAATTTGTCACTCTTTCAAGGTTTAGTTGGCTTAAATCAGACACCATAGTTTTGTGATATGGCACTAGCTCACTTAAATGCAGTAAAGCTGAGTTCTATTGTTAATTTGAATTTTCATTTTTGTCTAAATGATTTGATAAGTTGAGAAAACGGTTTGTAACATTTTTGTTATCAACGTTAATGCAATCTGATGACGCATACGTACTTAATCAGTTAAAAGAAAGTACAAAGATCACATTTCAACAGGATTTGTTCGCCATTTTGAACAACGGCCGAAAGATAAAAGCTGCATTTAATCGTGTTATTTATATTTATGGCGTTTGTCGATTAAAAACAATCATTGAATTGTGAATATTAACATATAAGACAAGTTACTTCACCTTTATTCTTAAGAAATAATGTGTATGGTTATGATTGACAAGCTTTATATTTGTAGTACCCTTTCGGGCAAAGGTTTTGGGCAATTTGACCTAGTTTTCGGAGAAATTGGCCATTTTCAATTACAGCTTAAGATAAGATCTAGATTCATAAAAAACAATGGTCAAGAAACAAAGTTCATCACCCCAGACAAGTGTTTAAAAACATTTATTTTAATGAAGAACCTTGCAGGGTTTTTTCAAATTGCCCTACGAAAGATGCAAAATTTGGCGATTACACATTTCATAAAAAAACGCAAATGTGACGTGACTATATGAAACTAGGAAACGCCCAACACAAACGCACACACATCATAGCACTAGTGAAGATGTTTCTTGTTTTATGACATTGACGACTCGTGATGTCGATACAATCTTCACGTATGATGATACAATCAACTCTTTTGGTACAGTCCACCATCAGGAAGCAACGATCATCAATCAAAGCTTCCATCAAGTCAATTATCATGTTAATAAAAATTAATATAAGATCTTGTTTTAAAGTATATATTGTGCAAATGTTCATATACAATATTTATTTAATATACAACTACACACTCGAATTAATGTCTTTCAATGAGTAACTAAGGAAAAAGTAAGCTATCAAGTATACTTATAGTCGGTAGAGTTTAAGAAAGCTTATTATATAAGAATTACTATTATCATTGAGAATCCGTTGTGAAGTACGAATCATCAACGTCCAACAGAGATTTTGCGATTTCGTTTTACCTTATTTGCGTGTACAAAATGTGCTATATCTATAGAACAGACTCGTGAATATTTCAATACTTGTGCAAAATGTTTTCAGTAAAAATCTCTGGCGCCCCTGTTAAAGCATCCGACAGATCGCCCTTTTCCAAGAGTTCGCGATAGTACAACATAAAATTTTGTACAATGTTAATAGCGCAGTGGTACGGTGATAAGAAAGCAGGAGATATTGCATTTTTATCGCACCATAGTATCATTGCAATTCCAGCTTCTTGCAATCACTTTTGTGTCAATCTCAATCGTGCATCACAATTAGGTAAAATGTCACACGATTTGTAAAAAAAACGGAAAACCGTATGAAAGATCATTAATTGCATTGAACGCAAATAATTAGGTTAAAACTGTCCTTTTAAGTTAATGATAACAATGTGAATATCATTTTATCAGTAGGTTGATAGTTTTTGGCAATGTTTATTCTGTATTTATGCATATGAGCCTAAAGGTACAGTTAATCATACAGTTTACCATACATACAAAAGCTTAGGTTATCCACTCTTGCCAAACTTTATGTGAGTTCATGCTTTAATTTTAGATTATTGCATAGAACAAGAGGAACAAAATCTTAGTTTTTAAATAGATTAAAGAAATATTACCTGGCAACACAAATAAACTTAGTGTGGTCAATCGAATAAAGTAACATCTGAAACCCATTTCTTGACTTATTTTCGTCACACCGGAAAACTAAAAAAAAGACAACATTTTGTACTGATTTTTTAGTCTGACAAGAATGACAACGTAGTACTACATATATGCACAAACTAAATACCGAAACATTGAACTTAAGACTGCATTTTACAAAATAGAATCTGCTACACTTTATTAATAAAATGGGTTTCATATCGACTCCCGTTCTTACTTTGGTGAACATACGACCAACATGTATTTTATATTTATAAGTTTAAATGTCTGCAACATGACTAAGGCAAAATCGAAAGTACAATTGTTGTTTGGCGATAAATTCGGCTATTGAGTCATCCAAACATCAACAGAAAAATATTTTCGCTCCAAAATGAAAAATTTTCCTCATTATATAACGGATGTTTTTATACAAACTGCATCTTCTTTTATAGATGATTACTCTTTTGTGACCGACATACCCGGCAAACTGTAAGGCTTTAACGGTAAAAGTGTGTTATACCCAATGGCGTCCGTCTGTTCGTCCGTCCGTCCGTCCGTCCGTTAGCAATTAGGTTTCCGGAGTATAACTTAAGTTCCATTTGGTCCACAGTATATTAAATTCACAGGATGATTGTCCATATTGGGTAGAAGACCCCTATTGATTTTGGGGTCACAAGGTCAAAGTTCAAGGTCACTATTACCTTAAAACTGAAAATGGTTTACGGAGCATAACTTAAGTTATATTTGGCCCACAGTATTCATACTTCATTGGATGATTGTCCATATTGGGTAGAAGACCCCTATTGATTTAAGGGTCACAATGTCAAAGGTCAAGGTCACTATTACCCTTATACTGAAAATGGTGTACGGAACATAACTAAGTTCTGTTTAGCCAACAGTATTCAGACTTCATAGGATTATTGTTCATTTTGAGAAGAAGACCCCTATTGATTTTAGGGTCGAAAAGTCAAAGGTCAAGGTCATTGTTACCTTAAAACTGAAAATGGTTTACAGAGCATAACTTAAGTTCTATTTGGCCCACAGTATTCAGACCTCATAGGATGATTGTCCAAGGTCAAGGTCACTATAACCTTAAAACTGAAAACAGTTTCCGCTCAATTACTTTTAAGTATGAATCAACCAACTGCTGTAAAATTTTATAGGATGAACAGCCATGTCCAATACATGACCCCTATTGATTTTAGGGTCATAAAGTCAAAGGTCAGGGTAACAATGATCTTTACACTGAAAGTTGTGGTTTCTGTAGCATAAATACAACTTGATGGTGTTTTGAAAACAGTCTTTAATTTACCCCCCCCCCCAAGTCTCCTGTCCCCTTCCCTTGTGCCCTTCGACTTTGTGGGCCTATTATTCAACCATTTACTTGTTTTCTTTGAATTTCTTATCATTTACAAATTCTATCCTATTATTCAATCATTCATTTTATTTTTGTTTTTTTAATTTCTTATTAGTTACAAATTATTTATCATTTTACACTTTTAGTGATTAGTCTGTCCGTGCTCTGCATTGTGCCCTGTCCTGTTTTTGTTTGGGGTCCGCCTAGGCTCCTGCCCTGGCTCTTGTTGCTGGGTCGTGTGGGGGTTGCATTCATTAAAGCCGCCTTTCTTTGTTGATCTTGTTTATCATATTTTGATTAGATTTACATCCAAACTTTAAAAAACCGTTTATAAAGCAGTAGATGGTATGGCAATTAGGAAAATCTGTTTTTATAAAATGCAGTTTTAAATAAAGGTTGAAAGTAAACTATCACACATTATGTTTAAAATCTGAGCTAGAAACCAAGACATTAATTTTAAAAAGATGAATAGATTTTAAAAAATGTCAATTGTAAATATTAATTTAAAATAAAATATATACAAATGAATATATATCGTGAAAACTTTACTTACAATTTACAACATCCTATCAGATTTCAACAAAGTTCACGTTTGAAAAGCACAAATCTTTTTATCACTTCCTGATTAAGTCTAAGTATTTTATTTATTTAACTTCCTGATTAAGTATATATCTTATCAAAACATTCTATACCAATACCCACTAGCTAAAGATATACATATACCGTTATCAATTTGAGGATTAAATGAATAAAATTCTTACTTATACAAAAATACTAGCTCATTGCTATTAACAAATTGATGTGAAATGGTGATTCTTTTCATGAGAATAATAATTTACATGATTAAAGATTTTAATTAAAGGGTATAAATGTAAAATTCATTTTTAAAAATTTTCGATTGCATATACAATAAAGCCTAGAAATTCCGCCTCTAAAAAAGAAAAAAAAAACACAAAAAACAGGTGTTAATCTTTAAATCATTGACACCAACTTTTTATTAAATATTTTGTAAAAATAAAGTGAAACATGAGTATAAAATCAATAAAAGATGCAATAAGTCAAATCATACATGGCAGGATGGCAAATATTGAATATAAATGTATGCCTAAATGTTATTTCTATCAATAAATAGACATATTAATGAGATATAAAAAAACATCGAGGAAGAGCGGCGTGCAATGATCGAAACCCCCACATGACCAAACAATACAGGACCAGCGACAAGAGCCGAGTATGACCCTAAACAAAGACAGGACAAAACACAAGGCAAAGCGCAGACGGAATAATCAATGTAATAACACCCCATTTATAAAGTTATCGGTGATTGATCGGTACTTTTTAAGCCAAATTATAAGCTATTGAGGAAAGATAAAATTTTAAGTTTTAGAGATTCTGTTTTTCTCTATTTTGTATGACTTTAAAAGATGAACTATGTAAAGATAGTATAAAACAAGTGTGACACATGTCATTATTTTATAATCATAACTTGTTAGCAGAAAATAAACACTTTAATATGAAACAGAAATCAGATTTGTTAGTGTTTTTTGATGATATAATTAATCAACAAGGTGATTTTGTAGATTTAAAGCAGGTGATACAAAACAAGTCAACTTAATCATAGTTTGAAAAAATATGAAAAATAAGAAAATATGAAAAACGATATTTTGTTTTTAGAATTGGAAAAGATATAAATATTTGTCAAATAGAATAAACATGCTACCTAAATTATTGGTTTTAGAAATAGTCTTAAATTGGCATGAAATAATAACAAAAATACAAATTTGACCAAACATGTAAATGAAGGATGGCATATGGTAAGAACTTTACTTAACTTATGAGCTACACTAAATAAATTCATCCCAGAACAAATATTGAACTATGTTGTTTGTTTGATTTTTTATAATTGTTTTACATATTATATGAAAATTGATTAAATAAAATTATAATGTATTAATAATATCATAATTTTATTTTTGTATTTACTCATGACTATGTGATGCTTGTAAGAATTTGTATTGATTTTATGTAAGGTATCAGCGGGATGCCCCGACCCTCTCATACATATAAAGGGATAAATAAGCGGGGATAAAAAAAGGTCAAAAAAGAATTAGGTTTATTTTCTCCCTCACTTCGTTCGTCCGAAAATAAATTATTTCTTTCCTAAGCTATATAATACAAACCAAGAAATAAGAAAACTCAGATAATGTTCAATAGAAGTGGGTTTACTAAAGCTCGAATAAACAAAGATGTCTGGAGTTATTATATTGTAAAAGGGATTAAATGCCTAAATGTTTAGAAATTTGAAGCCTTTTATTCAAATTGTAATGGATATAACCATCTGAAGAAGTACTTGATTTCCATCTACCATGCTTATTTAACAAACTGGTATCTAAATTGAGAGTACTATTTGCACAAGCTGAAGCTCCGCCACTACGTAAACTATGTAGACCAAATTTATTTTTGTCTTCCCCAATTGCTACTATAGCTTGCAAAAATATTTCCCTGGATCTCGTGTACGACAAAGGACTAAAAGTGTTAACTGGTGCGTATTGGTTTTTACTTTTAAGAAATTTGACCTTTGTAAACATGTATTCGTCAGAGGAAACGGTTAAACCTGCGGCAGCTAAATAATTTTTTTAACCACGATACCGGACATAGTTTATTTCCCGTCTTAGCAATGACTATTTCTGAACCTTTTGTAACTGATCAGTTTTACTTTTCTTAATAAACAAAGACATATGATTTTCATAAATTTTGATATCTTTCATTTGTAACGAACTTAGCTCACTAAATCTCAAAAAACCTGAAAATCCAAGAATACACATTGTACATAATCTATTATTTTTAAAGTTCATCTTTCCTCCATTGCTATACAAATTTACAATACGATTCAAAATGTCTGCTGTAACTGGTTGTTTCTTCTGTTTTTGGTTGGCACAAGATACGTCTGCTTCCGTCAAAAGTCAGTTTAGTTAATTTGTGCGCACACGGATTATCAAAGAGTGATAATTCGTGCTTCCAGTTTATTGCATAAAAATAACCTTCCGGAACAGAATTAGACACTTCACTGATAGTTAAATCACTCAGAAGAAGACAAACCGTAGTTACTTTAGCTGGTAAACTGATAAAAGCATGTTCACCGCACCAAACGTCAAATTTGTTGAAGTATCCGATGTATTTCTGATTGGTATTCTTGGATTTAGAAGCCATAACTATGTCTGGTATCATACTTGCTGCTGCCCCAAGAGAAACATGATTTGAAAACTTTGAAATCTCTTCCCATATTGCATGATTTTTACGTTCCTGCAAATACAAAAAGATGTTACACATTTTTTTAGCAATTCTCAAAATCAGTGAACTAATAAAGCAATGATATAAACATTAAATATTTTATACACAGCAATTCTGAAAATAATCTCTGGTTTACTATAAATCTTTCTCAAAATACTTCCTAAAGACAACAACAAAAAAAACTAAAAATTATTCAAAATTTCTCTTTTGATAACTGTAAATCCTTGAATGATAATCTTCACTAAGAAAAAACTGAAAAGTCTATAAAAGAAATGATTATTTCTAGGATAACTGATTTTCTTTAATAATAATTCATCTGTACTAGGATAACAATAGATCCTCTCATTAAATAATTCTCATTATAGGATAACTGTAGATCCTTTCAATAAATAGTTCTCATTTCTAGGATAACTGTAAATCCT